CAAGTGTAGCTTGTCGCCCCGCTCAGCGGGGCGGGAGTCTGGGAAGAGCTCGGGCCGCTGACGCGTGGGAATGGGGGCGTGGTTAGCGTTACGTCGGGAATGTCCTCCTACATTCATGCTGGACAAAAAAGAGATTATCACATGGTCGAAAATAATCGAAAATCGTCCCCTAACTATTGCCGAAACATGGTGGGCCCGAGCTGTCGTCGCGACGCGCTATAAACAAACGCTCCTGGCCGTCAACTTCGCAGCCGCGCCGGGACAGGCGTCCCCGACGACAGAACAGCTCATGCCACACCGCTCTCCTGGAGGTCTCCCAGATGGGGTCCGAGTCGATGGTGTCGGAGGATCTCGCCGCATCGCCAATGTATCGGCCATACAATACATAGCTGCCCCGATACGCAACACGCAACACGTACCGTATCGATACGGAACTCAACACGTCGGCTGAAAACGTAGGTCCGACGCGATACATTCGCCATACGTGGTCCAACACGTGGAGCCGACACGTAACGCACTGACACGGACGTCTCGAACACGGGACGTGCTGCACTTCAGAACGCGCGCATCGAGGCAGCTGAGGCCATACACCTGCGACGTCGGCGATGCATCGGCGGCGTCGGCGCGGAGGGAAGTGTGCCCCAAAATTTATGTTCCCATCGTACCGAAGGACCACACCCCAAAAGGAATTTCGAGCACCCGGAAAAGTGTCGAAACAGTGAAGGACGAGTGTCTCCCAGGGCCCGACGCGTGAAAGCCTTGAGTTGTTGGGTATTTTTCTGGCGCTCGGAATTCTTTCTGGTGATCCAGGCTAAAGTAGGTTGGAACATCATAACCAAGGGCATCTAACTTCACGCTTCACGCTGCGTGAAGCGTGAATAACTTCACGCTTTTGCGCCGACCCCCCCCCAGGACAAGGCGAGGGGCTCGCGAAGCGCGATGCGCGCATACCTTCACGCTCTGGAAGCCTGGTGTTGGCTGTTTTCGGTTGTCTGTCGGTGTTGGTTCCCTGTCGGTCGGTCTCATCTTGGGTTATTAACCCGAGATCAGGCCGCATCGCCGATGCATCTCGCCGATGCGTCGGCGATGTGCCTCGGCGACGCGGCGGCGACCCTCCGACCCTGCCTGCCGCTCCGACCCCGGCCTGTGAGGCGCACAGCTCTCTCCGCCCACGGCCCCCCGCGGCACCCGAGGAGCCCTCCCGGGAGAGGGAGGAGGAGGAGGAGGGAGAAGAGGAGGAGGAGGAGGAGGAGGAGGAGGAGGAGGCGGAGGAGGAGGAGGAGGAGGAGGCGGAGGAGGAGGCGGAGGAGAGGAGGAGGAGGAGGAGGGGGAGGGAGGAGGGAGGAGGAGGAGGAGGAGGAGGAGGAGGAGGAGGAGGAGGAGGAGGAGGAGGAGGATGAGGGAGGAGGGAGGAGGAGGAGGGAGGAGGGAGGAGGGAGGGAGGGGAGGAGGAGGAGGAGGGAGGAGGGAGGAGGGAGGAGGGAGGAGGGAGAGGGAGGAGGGAGGAGGAGGGAGGGAGGAGGGAGAGGAGGAGGGAGGAGGGAGGAGGGAGGAGGGAGGAGGAGGAGGGAGGAGGGAGGAGGGAGGAGGAGGAGGAGGGGAGGAGGAGGAGGAGGAGGAGGAGGAGGAGGAGGAGGAGGAGGAGGAGGAGGAGGGAGGAGGAGGAGGAGGAGGAGGAGGAGGAGGAGGAGGAGGAGGAGGAGGAGGAGGAGGAGGAGGAGGAGGAGGAGGAGGAGCCCCCCCTCAGCCTCCGAGAGAGGCCCGCCCTCCCCTCGCGCCGCCCCTGGGGAAACCAGCAGGCACCGATGCACCGCTCCTCCCTGGACCTCTCCCCGGGGAGCGCTCCGACGGGACTTTCGAGGCAGCTCCAGCGGTGGCGACGAGAGCCTCCCGGGAGGCCCCAACAACAGAAGGCGCACACGCGAGGGCAGGACAGCGGCGGGGGCCCTCTTGCCTCCTGCCCTCGGAGGAGCTCAGGAGCTCCCGAACGGAGTGAGCCCCACCCTCCCCCTCGGAGGTCGTGGGGGGTAGGGGTATAGGCTGAGGGCTCGCACGCGGCCCCCTGTCGGAGCCCCCCTCGGCACGCGCCGCCGCACCTGCGCCCTGTGCCTCTCCGCCACCACGCCCTCCAGCAGCTGCCCGGCGTGGGCGCCGCCCGGGCGCGCCCCGAGCGCCGCCGCCGCCCGCCGGCCGAGGGTGGTGACCCTGCCGGCCGCGTCGAGCTCCAGGAGGGCCGGCCGCGCGCAGGAGAGGCCCCCCTCTCTCGGGCGGGGGCGGCCTCGGGGTGCGCGGTGCTCGGGTGGGCGCGGAGGGGGGGGGGAGGAGGGGGAGGAGGAGGAGGAGGGGGAAGAGGAGGAGGAGGGGGAGGAGGAGGAGGAGGAGGAGGAGGAGGAGGAGGGGAGGAGGAGGAGGAGGAGGAGGAGAGGAGGAGGAGGGGAGGGGAGGAGGAGGAGGAGGAGGAGGAGGGAGGAGGAGGAGGAGGAGGGAGGAGGAGGAGGAGGAGGAGGAGGAGGGAGAGAGGAGGAGGAGGAGGAGGAGGAGAGGAGGAGGGGGAGGGGGCGGAGGAGGAGTCACTCGGGCGAAGGGCCACTCCTGCGCGCAGCCGAGAAGGGCAGCCCAGAGTGCTGCAGCAGCCGGCGCAGCGCCTCGGCGTAGCCGCGGGCCTCCTCCAGCTCCATGTGGCTGGGGCTCTCACAGGCGCCACCCCGCCGCGCGCGCCATCGGCCCGTTGGCCGCCGGTGGCTTGAGCCCAGGCAAACCAAAATTGCTGCGGTGGACACGGGGAGGAGGGAGAGAGGGAGAAGGAGGAGGAGAATGAGGAAAAGGAGGAAAAGGAGGAGGAAAGGATGAAGAGGAGGCGACAAGAAAGAGGAGGATGAGGGCAGGAGGAGGAGGCTGATGATGATGATGATGATGATGATGATGATGATGATGATGATGATGAGGAGGAGGCGGAGGAGGAGGAGGAGGAGGAGGAGGAGGTGCAGGAGGGTTATAATACTATAATACTCAACCCCCACTACCGACCGCGTATCACAATACCATGGCCCGGCACGGGCCCAAGCAGCAAGCGAGCTGCCAACACTACGACTTGCCAAGCCGTGCCGAGGACGACAGGATCAGAAATCAACCAACTTGCGGGAAGCAAGTGCACAACGCGTACCAGAAAAAGGTCTACAAGTCAGACGCACTCGAGATGGAGGAACAACACGCGACCCACAGCGAGATCTCCGAGCTGCACCATGATTAACCCGTCGACGTCATCCACCGGGGGATCGCTCGCTACCTACTTCAAGACAAGCACCACGTCGGATGCACGAACCCGTTGCGTGTAGCTTGAGGACGTAGCGGAGAGACCGTGAAGACAAGCCGCTGCACGCTACACCCACGTACCGACGCTTGCATCATCGATATGAAGCGACACCACACCACACCACAGACGATCGGAGGACTACAAACAGACCGAAACGACCCACAAGGCGACCAAGTCTCATTGCTAACTTGCACAGAACATGAAATCGCCAAATTGAATCTACACCGAGCTTCTATGCGACTCTGATTTGCGCAAGGTCAACCCATGGAATCAAGCAGAGCTAGGCGAGCTCCGCCACACCAGCCCAGCACTGGTCTACACATACATAGGCAAGAGTCGCACAACATTCAAGACGCAACGGTACCAACACCAACGCCCACCCCCATAATGAGGCCACACAGGACATCACCTCGTTGCAACGACCAGACAAGGTAGGGGCAACCTGCTCCAAATCAAAATGAAAGGCTACGACAAAAAACACGAGCAAGGAGTACGCCACGAAACCGAACAGGCGCCCGAATATCTACGGACGGCCCACACCTCGAACAAGCAGGAGGACTATGTAAGCAAGCTCAGCACAGCAAGCCTCATTGACTTCTCGGGATTCACACCACATGTTCAGTGGAGATCGGTGGATCCATCAGCGCGGGACCACGAGCGACCGATAATCTACCCAACAGCAGCTGAAAGGAGGGCTTAGCAGTTTCCACAGTGCCAACCCACTGCGAGCACCGCTGTTGCAACTACAGCTACGCCACGACAAAATCCGCAATGGGCCACCCACCAGACGCGCAGTGAGATTCTCAACATTCCGCGGTACTCCAGCCCGTTCCGCCTGAGACATCCTCGCGTTTCTGGGCTTCGAGATGCCGCGCGCGGAGATGTCCAGCAAGTCTCGCCAGAGACATCTTTGCAGCTGTGGGCTCTCCGAGACGGCACGCGCGAGGTGGTGCGGCATGACAGGCCTGAGACATCCTGGCAACTATTGGCTCCAAATGGGAGGATACATATGATCATATATATATATATATATGTTTGTATTCGTACATGTGTTTATATACACGCGTGTAAATGCGTGTAAACAAACATGAGCCATTTCATATGGAACAGCTTCATGGACATATCTAACTGTCCACCAATCAAGCTTAGATGCTCGTATATATATATATATGTAAATATACATATATACATACCATAATATGCCAGGGGGTCAGTCTTAGGCAAGGCCATCATAGCATTGCATTTCGATATGTTCGACGACGGCGACTCTGATGAAGACGATGACGCGCGACGGCAACGACGGCGACGTCGGCGACGCAGACGACGACGACGATGACATCGACGACGATTGCCACATGGACGACGGCGACTGCGACGATGACAGCGACGACGACGACGACGACAACGACGACTGCGACACTGACGATGACGTCGATGGCGGCGGCGACGACTACGACGAGGACGTCGACATCGCCAACGGTTGCGGCCTTCACGCATGTTTCATGCGCATGTGTATTCATGCATGTATTTATGTACGGACCTGTGTGTATATGGACGAATATAGACAAGACTGCATCGGCGCTTCGCGCCATGCACCTTGGTCCTTGAAGTTTGGCATGCAGGCGGAAGGACACCTTTTCCGACATAGCCATTACAATAATGTCATTCATTATCCTTCCCTCATGCTTCCTCTTCCTCTTCCTCACTCTCGCCCTACACTGCGAATGATTCCGCATCCTCCTCAGCTCATTTTGCGGAGGCTCCTCCTTGGAGAGCCTCTTTGGGGGCCTCACGAAAATGTTTCAATGCTTCCTGGAGCCTTCTGGAGGCCTCCTGGGCGCCTTCTGGGGGCTTCGTCGGGCCACCCTGCTTCCAACCGCGGTCTCCCTGAAGGACAGGGTCACGATTTGGAATGCTTCGGAGGGCGTCTTAGGGCCATCATGGGCCGTTATGGGGCTCTCTTCGGGCCATCTTGGAACCCTTCTGTGCTGTCTGGGCGCTCTCTTGGACTGCCTAACAGCCCTTTCGGGTAGACTTGGAGCGACTTTCGGGCCTCCTGGGCAGTCTGGGACGCCCGGAAGACCGAAGAACAGAGCATCCCCCAAATCATGCAAAAGCCTTGGGAATCAATGTTCCTTTCTGCGTTTGGAGAGCCTCTTGGGGTTCTTGTTCGGGTCGTCTTCGGGCGTCTGGCGGGGGGGCTGCGCCTCTCAGAGCGTGCATTACCTACCCCGCTTTCGCTTCCAGACAAAACCAAGTCATACCACGCGCCTCCTCGTCAAGCGGCCTGACCAGTACAGGCCGTAGTTTGGCATCGCTTGGTATCTCTTGGAAGCGAGGGTGGTCAAAAGCGAGGTAGGTTTGTTTGCCTCCTAGCCTCCCGGGCCCTCGGGGGGGCGTTCGGCCACCCTCCGGACCGACCGAGTCGGGCCTGTTGCCGGGGCCCAGCTCGGGCGTCGGCAGAACTGGGCTTCGCGGAACCTGGTTTCGTGACCCTCCTCCTCCTCCTCCTCTTCTTCCTCCTCCTCCTCCTCCTCCTCCTCCTCCTCCTCCTCCTCCTCCTCCTCGGGGGCGCCCCCCCCGTCCCGTCTCCACGGACCGGAACTGCCGTCACCCGAAAAAGCACAGGCTATATGGCAGACCTGGTTTCGTGATGCTGGCCAATTCCCGGGCTCTTGGGCCCCACCACCAGCCGGGCCCTGGCCACACCCGACCAGTGAGGGCTTCCGGGAGCTCTGGAAAGCCTGGGGGGAGCCTCCCGCAGGAGCGTCCAGCGGGGCACCCGGGGCCACGGCTCTGGGAGGCGAGGTCCCGCTTCGGGCGGAGGGTTCCCCCCCCCAGGAAGGCTTCCCCCCCCCAACCCTCCCGCTTGAAAAAAACACAAAAATGAAGGCAGCTGTGCTGATTATAGGGTGCTGCGGTGATCGAAGCCAGTTCCGGCCGAGGGAGGGGCGCCAAACGCATCCTCAAACTGCTGAAACGCCCTCACACCTTTCGCTTGCGCCTTGTCCCAGCTTGGGCGTCTCGCTTGAGATATCCTGCAAGTTCGGGGCTCTCGGAAGCCGCGCAAAAGCTGGTCCAGCCCGTTTCGCCTGAGACATCTTCGCACCTTCGTGCGGGGTCCGCATCGTTCTCGGCACACCGTCGTCGTCATCCAGAGTCTCCTCCTCTTCCTCCTCCTAATCCTCCTCCTTCTCCTCCTCCTAATCCTCCTCCTCCTCCTCCTCCTAATCCTCCTCCTCCTCCTCCTCCTCCTCCTCCTCCTCCTCCTCCTAATCCTCCTCCTCCTCCTCCTCCTCCTCCTCCTCCTCCTCCTCCTCCTCCTCCTCCTCGCCTGTTTTCCGAGGCGCCGTGCGAGAGGTGGTCTGGCGCGCTTCGCCCGAGGCGTCCTCGCCACTCCGGGCTCCGACGGGCTGCGCGCGCGGCGGTCTTGCCGCCCTGCCCGTGTCGCCCGAGGCATCCTCGCGGCTCTGGGCTCCAAAATGCCGCGCGCGAGGTGGTCCAGCGCGCTTCGCCTGAGACATCCTCGCAACTCTGGATCCCGAGATGCCGCTCGCGAGATGGTCCGGGGGCGTACCGCCTGAGGCATGCTTGCAGCTCTGGCCTTCGAGATGCTTCGCGCGAGAGGTGGTCCGGCCCGTGTCGCCAGAGACGTCCTCGCGACTCTGGGTTCCGAGATGCCCCGCGCGAGGTGTTCCGGCGCCTTTCGCCCGAGACATCCTCGCAGCCCTGGGCTCCCAAATGCCGCGCGCGAGGTGGTCCAGCGCGCTTCGCCTGAGACATCCTCGCAACTCTGGATCCCGAGATGCCGCTCGCGAGGTGGTCCGGCGCATTTCGCCTGAGGCATGCTTGCAACTCTGGCCTTCGAGATGCTTCGCGCGTGGTGGTCCGGCCCGCTTCGCCTGAGACATCTTCGCAACTCTGGGTTCCGAGATGCCCCGCGCGAGGTGTTTCGGCGCGTTTCGCCTTAGACGTCCTGCGCGCTTCGCCTGAGACATCCTCTCAACACGGGGTCCTGAGAAACCTTCCGCGAGGTGGTCAAGCGCGTTGCGCCTGAGACACCTTTGCAACTCTGGCCTTCCAGATGCCGCGCGAGAGGTGGTTCAGCCCGTTTCGCCTGAGACATCCTCGCAGCTCTGAGCTCCAAGATGCTTCGTCGTGGTGTTCTGGCCCATTTCGCCTGAGACATCCTCGCAACCCTGGACTTCGAGATGCCGCGCGCGAGGTGTTCCGACGCGTCTCACCTGAGACATCCTCGCGACTCTGGGCTCCGAGATGCCGCGCGCGAGGTGTTCCGACGCGTCTCGCCTGAGACATCCTCGCGACTCTGGGCTCCGAGATGCCGTGCGCGACGTGTTCTGGCCCGTTTCGCTTGAGACGTCCTCGCAAACTCTGGGCTCTGAGAGTCCGCGCGAGAGGTGGTCTGGCCAGTTTCCTCTGAGGCAATCCTCTCAAC